AGTATGATCGAAACTCTTATCAGGGCCTAGATGTAAGGCAGTGCCTTCCAGGACACACTGCTTCAGCACAGACTGCAAACAGCTCCCAGTCCTGACTCCTCCGCAGAAGCTGTCCACAGACTTCACAGTGCTGGCGAGGGCAAGAGGTGCCAAGTTCCCTGCCTGCAAGCACCACCCTAAAAAAAAGGAGAGGAGGAGCCTGGCCAGTGTGTTGTCAGCTGCCTGCCGGCACCTCTGCCCTAGCAGGCAGCTCCTGTCACTCTCTCAGATACACTTGCCCCCAGGCAGCTTCTGGAGATACAATCGCCAGCCCAATTCAGACGTTTCCTGTGAAGCTGAGACCAGGTGCACAGCTGCCCTGCGCTGCCCTCTCTAAGCACTCTGACTCACTGTCTGCCCGCTGTCTGTGCTGGGCCCTCACCCTCGGCCCGCATCCGACCTTTGCAGGAGGCTCCCAAAACATGCCTGCTTGGCTCTTTCACACCCCTCCCAGAAGCCACTTTAGCCAAGCTCTGCCTTCTGCTCTTGGCTGATTTCAGACCTCCACTGGTCCTGGCCTCACTGCCCAGCCCCACGGGGCCCTTTCCCCCCGCACGCCCGCAGATGGGCTGCACCCTCATGCTGCCCGGAGGACCCAGAACAGCAGTGTAGGCATCATCTGAGAGCTTGTCAGACATGCAGCCTCTCAGACACACCCAGACCTCTGAGCTCAAATCTGCATTTTAACAAAACACCCAGGCAGTCTCAGCCCACGGCCAAGTTGTGAGAAGCTCTGGTGTGCAGGTGGCTGGGCACAGAGATGTCCAATAAAGGGTCACACCATTATTATTTTCTGCTACATCCTTCCCCCACCCTTCCCAAATTGGCTCTGCTCTCCACCCCACCCCCCACTTATACTACATGGCAACACCATCCAACTGAACCCCAAGCAGAAGCCTCAGCTGTTCAAAACCACCTGCCAGCCCTGGCATCTCTGATGAGTCCTACTGTTTGCACTTCAGAAGCACCTTGCAGGCCTGGCCTTCCTTCCTCGGCCCCACAGAACCTTCCTGAGCTGTGCACAGCTAACCTATTTGCATGTCTGTTTCCCTGGTAATCCGAGGAGGAGGGGTGTAAGATACTGGAGGTGTGGCAGATGGTGGAAACCAAAAGTAAATGTAAAATTAGTGTTTTTCTTGATTTTATAAAGTTGTTTCAGGAATGAAAGTAAGTAGGTGGGGGCAATGTGATGTGGCATACATGGAAATATGGGAGGAGTTTTGATGAAAATATTTCTAGTTTTCCCTCCAATATATGGCTCGAGAAATCACTAAGAGGAGCCTGATAGATCCAAGGTCACCTCCTGGGTCAGTGCCCTAGCGGGATGAAGTTTACACCAGCTCTTTACAGGGGGCTGAAGGTTATAAACTGGGTGGGGAAAGACAGGATGACTAAAGCAGGGCTAAGTGCCTAGGAGGGGCAGGAGTGTCCCAGAGGGAGGGGCACAGTGGAAAGCTGGAAGGCAGCTCCAGTGTGGGGCTTGCGCTCCGACCTCTGGACCTCCTTGTGGGGAGTTCATTCATACTTTCCATCAGAGCCTGCGGGAGCATTTGTGGGCAGAAAAAATGCAGCCGGGCCAGGAATAGCCCAGGGAGCTTTTGTTCTAAGATTTCCAGCTACAGACAAACTCAACCACAACACCCGTACTGCAAACAGTTCCAGGTGAGGTTTAAGTGGAAGGGCCAAAGTTCAAAGCGAACCAGCCGTTCTCAGTGCCCTAACAGCCCTCACCAACCGGAGGGTCTTACTCCTGAGGTCCGCACCTAGCACTGTGTCTGGTACGCGTGTGGGCTCAATAAAGATCTAATGATGGCTGCCTTGATTTGAGAGGCAGAAGCAGCTAGAAGCCCCTGGCCTTGTCTAGGAGAAGCCCAGATCCCATGCCTGTCTCTCAGTGTGCAGGAGCATATTCATGATTCATTAATATTAATGTGTGAAGCTATGTAAATGCCTGATGGTCAAAGACCACTTACAGAGTAACTGAGGCATGGGGAAGGGGGACCATGTGTCACACCCAAGATCTCAGGCTCTGCGTCTCAGTCCCTGACCCAAACCATGAACACACATGCACTGCAGGAGCTCCTCTGGTCTTTCTTTATCCAGGCCCTCAACATCCTAACACTACTGAAATGGGATAACTCTCTCAATCCTGACAAGTCCTTCATTCAGTCAATGGCTTTTTACTGAGGTCTGCTTTGTGCCAAGAACCATCCCAGCGGCTAGGGACACATCAGCGAGCAAAACAGAGCACCCTGTCCTTTGGACTTTATTATAATGAGAAGAGATGACAATAAACAACACAGTAAATTCATAAACTACGTGGCTGTTAGAAAGTCATATGTGCTAAAAAAAAATAATAATAATAAAATAAAATAAAAAAGGAAAAGAAAAAGAAAGTCATATGTGCTGTGAGAAAAAGAAAATTAAGCACAGGATGGGGAGATCAGGAGGCAGGAGGCTTCACCAAGAAGGTGAAGCTGAAGCAGACATAAGTGAGGGGAGAGGGAGGCGTCCAGGGAAGAACATTCCAGCCGGAACAGTTAGGGCAAAGGCCCAGGCAGGGGGCGTCATGGTGTGTTCCAGGAACAGCAGGAATGCCAGTAGGATTTGCCAGTCAGTCATCCATTCATTTGTTGTTTGTTCATTTGTTCATTCATTCATTGTGTAACAAGCATTTACTGCTCCTCTCTTTGCCAGGCACTGAGTGGTGAGAACACTAATAGGGCAGAATCCCTATCCTCAAGAAGCTTATAATGCTGGGAGCAAGGAGTCAAAATTAACTTAGAAGCCTCAGCCAGAGCTCAGGGCCCTACCCAACTAGGAGGTGCTAAAGGCCCATGAAGCACAGGCACCCAGCTCACTTGTTTTTCTTTCCAAATCTCTTAGGTTGCAGGTGTATACTAATGTTTGCCATGTTCTAGAGGGCCTCCCACTGAAAAGGTGGATGTTAGATGGAAAGATCTGGAAAAGGCCATACTGGGAGGAGGCGGCAGGAATAGCATGGCAGCGAGTTAAGACTAGAAACGGGGAGGTGACAGTGTGAAGCCCAAGTGTGTTCACTGGGGTGACCGTCCTGTCACATCCACATCTTCAGGACTTGGTGCTGCACCGGGCAGACTGCGCCTGCTTTTCCATTGTTTTCATCCCCTTGTTAGGAGGAGAGACACATCTGAAGAGATCTGCTCAACAGAGCTCAGGCCTCACAGATGTAAAGTGGCCTTTTAGTTTATTTTTTATTTTTTACAAGAGTCCAAAATGGCCCTGCCAAGGTTCAGGAAGCTCCCAGCCTGTGAGAGCTTAGCTCTACTGACCTACTGACCATCCATTCTCGCTGCAACAACCTGGCTGATGTGGGTGGGCCGCCAGCACCGGCCCAGAGACCAGGAGTAAGGCCCACAGGGAGCTCTCACCGGGCTCCTGATAAGGACACAGAACCCTCAGGGCCCAGGGTCTGCAGGGTGGGCGTACAGGGGTGTGTGCCCCGAGCTTTGAGGCTGATGTGTAAACCCTCCAAGTGCCTCTGCCCCAGGTCTGGGTCCCTGAAAGAAACAGGTTCCAGGGTCTGCACCCCAAAGCTCCAGAGAGGCCGTGTCATCATTACCAGCCACCCCTGTCCCTCTGGTCCCTCTGCAGTCTCCACTGGGGCTTACATCACTCCAGTCCCCTTAGCTCTGCTGCTGAGATGCAGTCTGTCAAACTGGAGAGGACTGGGTACCAACCTGCCACCCTAGCAGTGACTCGAGCATCTTTCAGACCAAACTTGGCCAGGCTAGTTCCTCGTCCCCCTGCACTCTGTTCCAGAAATGAACTGACAAGGGTCTGGAGCTTGCTCAGAAGTTGCTCCTGGCCCTAGGCGGCCTGGGAAGCCTAGCCAACAGGAGCCCTATCTGTGGGAAACAAGCAAAGCCCTGGGTTTAGGATGAGCTCCGCCCCCCTCCATTCCTTCACAAAGAGCTTCCCTTTCTGCCTCCTCATTCCCGGTGGCCTAGGAGGGTTTTACTCCATAATTGGCTTGTTTACCACCACTGAGGGCTGGAATGGCAGAGGTGGGAGAAAGTCTGCTGGAAGAAGGAAAGTTTGCTGAGCTTTGAGGCTGGTGTGAAACCCTCCCAGTGCCTCTCTGACAACCTGAGAACTGGTCAGGAACCCACGTGAGGAAGAAAAACACAGGGACGCAAGGCCAGCTGAAGATCCCAGCAGACCACAGGAGGGAAGCTTATGTCTGATGCCAGGGAAAGGGAGAACAATAACCAAAACTCAACCTGCTTGCTTCTGCTGAAGAGTCGAAAGCATTACTTGGCACTGCTCTGAGCTCCCAATCGACTTCTGTGGACTAGGCGCTCCAGTGATGTCATCCCAGCTCACAAACCTTCCATAGCTCCCAGCTCCTAGCCAACCCACCACCCTGACCTCCAGGCTCTTCCCAGGCCCCACTGCCTCAGCCTGCTGACCACTCATCAGCGGACCTGTATCCTCCCTGAACAGGACCACCTGCTGGGCCACAAAGACATCCTTTCCCCCGATGTCCCCCCACGTGGGTTCTCTGCTCCTAGGGGTTCTCTCTACCTCAGGTACCAAGTCTCTCCACCTTTTAAAGCTCTCCTCATACACTCCCTCCCTTGGGAAGGTTTTCCCAGTTCCCCAGCCCTTCCTCACCCCACCCCAATCTCTGTGCCCTGGCACTGGCCTCCTTAAGGCAACTGCCTTCATCTGTCGTGCTTTGAGAGCTCCCTGAGGTCTTGCTCCATCCTCCGAATGAGCAAGCCTCTTACTCAGCTTAGATTCAGCTGAAGCAAAACACAGGACCTGGCAGACAGCAGATGCTTAACTGTTTTTCCGCCCCAAATACCATTCGTCCCAGAGGCCTAGAAAATGATAGGGGCAAAGGGACAGAGTCCCACAGAAGGAACAGAGCAGAGCAGTGTGACCAGAGGCAGCTGGGCGAGCGGCTCAGGCCCTACCTTTCTTGAACTCCTCCAGCATGGCATCCAGCTTGGTGTCGTGGAAGACAAAGTGCACGGGGTGGTTGTAGAAGCGGGTGATGGTCTTGAGGGGGGTGCAGTCATCGGGGTCCACGAAGGCCAAGTCTTTGACGTAGAGAATATCTACAATATTGGACTGCTCATCCTCAAACACGGGGATGCGGGTGTAGCCACTCTCCATGATCTCGGACATCGTGTTGAAGTCCAGGATGGCATCGTTGCGGATCATGAAGCAGTCATGCAGCTGGGTCATGATGTCCTCCACGGTTTTGGTCCGCAGTTCCAGGGCCCCCTGGATCATGTTTAGCTCCTCTTTCACCAGGTCATTGTAGGGCTCTGTCACCTTCAACATCTCCATCAGCTTCTCGCGATTGTAAACGGTGTGAATCTCCTGGCCCAGGAAAAAGTCTAGGAGCTTGCTGATGGGGAAGCTGAGGGGGAAAGTGAGGAGCATAAAGAATTTGGTAAGAACGATCGTGTTGGCGCCCACGGCCAGTCCGTGTCGGGAGCACAGGGCCTGAGGTAAAATCTCTCCAAAGATGACGATGCCGATGGTGGAGGAGGCCACAGCCATGAGCCCGGACCCGATGAGGTTGTCCAGGAGGATAGTGAGAGAGGTGTTGACCAGCACGTTTCCCAGGAGCAGCGAGCAGAGCAGGTAGTTGCCTTTGCGACGGATGGGCTCGATCTTGCGAGCGTAGCGCCTCTCCTTCTCGGTGCCACAGTTCTGGACGATGCGCAGCTCCATGGGGTCCAGGGCCATCAGCCCCAGGTTGAGGCCGGAGAAGATGCCCGACAGCACTAACAGCACCAAAATGATAAGAATGTGCAGCCAGAGGGGCAGGAACCGCCCCACCTCCTCCACCATGAAGAGCAGCGAGTCCTTGTCCGTCCAGCGCTGCCAGGGCCCGTCCACGCCGGCCCGGGTGCACAGCGCGTACAGCTTCATGTTCTCGCTCCTCCGGAGGAACTTGGTGAACACCACCAGCATCCCGGACGTGTTCCCGCGGCTCACGTTGACCAGCTGCTGGACGACCAGGTCCTTGGTGAGCTCGGGGCAGTGGGTGGAGTTGTGGAAGGCCTCGGAGTTGTCCACCTCCGTGAAGGAGATCAGGTTGCTGGTGATGGAGCCCAGCCCGTGGCCGTACAGCCGCAGGTTCACCGTGCTGTCCTCGGACACAAAGATGATGCCATCCGGGTTCATCCCGCACGGTTTGTCGCAGGTCGCCAGGCGCATGCCGAGGATCGTGCTCTGCTGGGGGTCTCCCTGGCCGCGGACCCCCCGCGCCCACAGCAGCGCCGGCAGCACCAGCGCCGCCAGGAGGAGGCGCCCTCGGGCCGGCCCGCCGCCCGGGCGCCCTCCCCCGCCCGCCGGCGCCATGTTGCTCCGGCTCGGCCGCCGCCGCACCCCGTGCCCCGCCGCGCGGCCCGCTCGCGCTGCCGCTCCTGCCGCTTCGCCGTCGCCGAGCCAACTGCCCGGGCCGCCGGCCTGACGTCAGGCCAGCGCCCCGCCCGCCCCGCCCCGCCGGCCCACGCCTCTCATTTGCGTGCGAGTCCCCGCCCCCGGAGCGCGCCGCCGCGCCCACGCTTCAGAAATCCGGCGCTCGCGTTGGAGCGGAGCCGGAGCGCGGGAGCCGCGCGCGGGCCCCGCCCCGCCCCCCGCCCCGCCCCTCACGCCCTTCCGACGTCCCTTGGGCCCCGCCCACCTCCCCTCCGTAGGCCCCTACGTCCGAGCCGAACCCGCGCGGGGCCCGGTCGCCCGGGCTCCTACCTGCTGTCTGGGCAGCACCTTCTCGCTCCGCGGCCCGGCGGGGCTTGGCGTCTGCCCCGTCCGCCTCCCCTGCCGCTTCCCCTTCCCCATCAGCTCTCGGCGGAGGTCTTCTCTGCGGAACCGCACCGCTCTGGGCTCCGCTGAGAAAAAGAAAAGAGGAACCAAAGGGCTTAAGCCTGGAGAAATCGTCAAGACCATGGTGGCCCTGCAGTCAGTCTCTTGCAAATGGTTCTGGCCTCCGCACTCCAGGGATTTGCTGACCTTCCCCTAATGTCAGCAGTAGTTTCCCCAGCCCCAGCTCGGGGCTTCCTTCGGTCTGTGGCTGTCCCTGGCGGAGGGGAAGTCGGGAAATAAGGCTATACATGTACCTGCAGATAGAAGGGCCAGCATCTGGCCTGGGCTTATTTCGCGTCATTTCCATTTATAACACAAGTATGGAGCATCTTCCGTGTGCCAGGCACTCGTTCTAGGCTCTGACAACATAGCATGAATAAGCCAAAGTCCCTGCCCACTGGAGTTGACAGAGTAGAAAGCAAACAATAAACAAGTAATATATATAACATTCTTACCTAAGGGGTAATGTCATTATTTCCGTATTGCACATGAAGAGCTTGAATCTAGGCACAAATTTGGGTCCTTCCAAACCATCATCTGCACGGCAGACTTGTGTAACTTTGGAAAGGCAAGCTGCTCTCGGCCCAGTTTCTACATCTGTGAGCTGAGGGTTAAATGATGATGCAGAACCACCCTACTGAGGGTGGGAACACCCGGCCTCGGCACCCAACACGGCAGGACATCTGTGTGAAGGCTCTGTGGCTGTGCAGTTGTTGTTGTTGCCTGTTCTTCCGGGACCAAACCCCTAACCCCAAATTGGAGTGGTGACTGGCTAGCAGGGGCAGCTGCATGTGGAAACTGGAGCTGAGAGGCGGCACCAGGCCTAGCCGAGCCCTAAATGACTGCTTCCTGGACGGCCCTGCCTTGGTAGCAGCCGGCAACTATGAATTGAGCACCCAAGGAGTGTGGGGAAGAGAGCGGCCGCTGCCCTATGAGGGAGAAGGAGACAGCAAACATCCTTATAATAATTGCAGAGGTGCCCTGAAAGGAGCATTGGGTGCCAATTTGCCCACTGGGTCTCAGCAAGTTTTTTCCGCAGCCCTGGAGATACAGAATCCACTTTCCTTTGTGTTTATTTGTGTTGTACTATACTATTTGCCAACAAAAGCAGCAATCAATACCAGCCTGAAAGAGTCTAAACAATCACACAGGCTATCAGAGGTGTCATAGCGGAGCCCTGATTCACTTAACCGGTGTTATCAGGGGCAGAGGGTGAGCACACTGGCCAGCGTGAAGCAGTCCCATGCACCTCGGTGCCTTGCTTTATATTCCCAGGTGAGTGTCAGGTTTTCAGGGCACAGGAGCCAACAGAGGATAAAAGCAGAAAGTGGGACCTTTGGTTCCTTCCATCTCCCCTGACCGGGAGGAGCCACCTGCATGGGCTTACCTCAGAGCAAGCCCAGCTCCCAGGGAGGCTAGCCCCTCTTCCCAGCCGGCTTTAGGACTAGTGCTGTCCACTTGGCACTTTCCCATTCTATTATCGACCAATTGGCTATTTTTATTTTGCTCTCTTCAGACTGTCTGTACTCAGAGACTCTGTACACATGCACTGAGTCCAGTGACAGAAGCCAACAAAGGAAAGGAAACTAGAAGCTTTTGAGATAGTTGAATGGTGAGGATCTGGTAGGAAAAATCAGTCTTTGCTAAAGTTCATTTAAATACACCCATGGCCCTAGCTGGTTTAGCTCAGTGGATAGAGCATCAGCCTGCGGGCCGAAGGTCCCAGGTTTCATTCCAGTCCAGGGCACGTACTTGATTGCAGGCTCCTCCCCTGCCCCCGCTCTGGTTGGGGCTCCTGCAGGAGGCAACCAATGGAAGTGTTTCTCTCACATCAATGTTTTTTTTTTGCCTTTCCTTCTGTTTTCCACTCTCCTGAAAAATCAATGGAAAAACATCCTCAGGTGAGGATTTAAAAAAAAAAAAAAAAATAAGCCCTGGCAGGTTGCTCAGTGGATAGAGCGTCGGCTGGTGGACTGAAGGGTCCCAGGTTCAATTCCGGCCAAGGACATGTACCTTGGTTGTGCGCACATCCCCAGTGTGGGGTGTGCAGGAGGCAGCTGAACGATGTTTCTCTCTCGTGGATGTTTCTAACTTTCTATTCCTCTCCCTTCCTCTCTGTAAAAAAAAAAAAAATCAATAAAATATGTTTTAAAATAAATACACCCATGCACGATTATATCCATATCTGAGATTAAAGAATAGGGCAGAACCAATGAAGCAAAGAAATGAGATTTCTCTTTGCCTTCCCAGCGCCTTTAATCTAGCTGAGGGCATGAGACTCCCTTGGAAAAAGAGAACTGCAGAGTGAAGCGGTGAGTGTCACAGCAGGTACCGGAGGCCCAGGCTGGAGTTCAAATGCATTCACTGCCGGTCTTGTTCCTGGTTAGGTCATTAACCTTCCACACCCGCAGCGCTGAAAAACCTCCCCACAGAATGGAGATGGAGATCTAACAGGAAGAGCCCGGACGCCTGGAAGCGTGTGTGGCTCCTGTGACGTAGGCTGTGGAAGAGGTGGACTGTCACTGGCACCTGAGAAGCCTCACTCCTCCAGGGACAGACCTGATTCTCTGCTCCAGGTGGAAGCCCTCACCCATCTGAGCGGCCGCCATTTGCAAGTAAGAAGTCAGGAGGCCTCTCTCAGAGGGGTTCTGATACCTGGCCCCTGAGCCTTTCCAGGCACTCTATTTGGGAGACCTTGGATCTGACAGGCTCTCTGCAGTTAGGCCCTGTGGCAGCAGGCCTACGCCTCCCTGGCTGAGCCCGCCACGCTCTGGTCCTGTGCAGGCATCTCGAAGGTCCATCAACCCTTCTTCTGTGCCCAGTGTTGTCCTGAGGCTGAGGTTCAGATGGTGACCGGGGCCTGACTTGTCTGTCACTTAGGGTCTTCCGCTCCACTCCCTGGGATGCGGCCCTTCCGGCCTGGATTCTTCTCCATTTTTATTTCTGGGTCTCCAAGGTGGGAAGCTGCTGGCAGAGAAGCTGCCTGTCTGCTGTCGGAGCTCAGAGCCTGGGCAGAGCCCCTGGGGGGACGCCGTGTGTCCTGGGGTCCCTGAATCTGATGGGAGCAATGGGACACCTGGGAGTGAAGCTCAGGCCACTGTCACCACCTGCCGTGGCCTGTCCACCTGCCATCCATAATCTACAGTGAACCTGAGCGCTTACAGGACACACACAAACCAGAGGGAGCCTGGGCCAGCTGCGGGGGTAGCAGCTCTGGCCATCCCAGTGATCAGAGCCTGAGGACCTGGTGCCACAATCTCCACTGGAGCGGGCACTTCACTGAGCCAGGGGAGGGGTGAGGACATCCGGCCCGCGGCCCAGGCCCAGAGAGGGTGCCAGAGCAGCAAGAGGAAGAGTGCATAGTAACTCAAGACTCCGTGGCCACAGGACAGGTTGTTCTCCTTTGGGACAGGACCACAGGAGGCAGGATGCCCCCCCACACACACACACACACCCCAGTGGGGGTTCAGGCACAGTTCTGGGTTGGCTTGGCCATGGATTGCCTGTGTGACCTGGGACTCTGGGGACATTCCTGAGTGCTCATGAGACAATGCCTGGCCCTGGTTCAAGACCCAATAAACATGATCAGTAGCGTGACAATGACAAATGATGGGGCTGAGGTTTTTAAGAGGACATTCACATTCCCTTCGCTCCAACGTGTCTGTCTAACTCCAGGATTGTTTTTTCTCTTCCTCTTCCTGTGGAGAGAGAAACGAGGAGGGGAGGTAAGGGGGGAGCAGGAAAAGGAGGAGGAGGAGAAGGAGGAAGAGAAGGAAGAAGGGAGGCTGGGGTGGGTAAAGCTGGTGGAGGTGCAGCAGGAGGGCTTTCACATCAACTAGGGGCTCAGGCTGCCAAGGCTGGCACGGGAGGGAGGGATGCCTGATGGCGTGGAGGCATGGTCTGGAGGAATCCCTTGTTGGTTCCGAGGTCCCTGTGAGGAGTCCCAGGCAGGGTGGTCCTGAGAAGTCCCCACACCCCCACTGGGACCAGGGCTCCTCTGGCCCTCTCTCCTTCCTGCTCCTCCTCCCTGGTGTGCTGCAGCGCCCTCCGTCCTCAAGGCTGGCTGCCCCAGCAAGCTTTCCTTCTGCTTCTCCAAACAGAGGGCCCGTCCCCTTTACCCCAAGATGACAAACGCTTAGTACTCACAGAGAAAAGCTTAAAAACAAAGTTCTTGGAGTCAGTGTCTCTAGTTTCTGACCCCTTTCCTTAGTTGGCCACGGAGAAATGCTGTAACAGCCATGTCATGCTCTGTCCCTCACCAGCTGGTAATTGGGTAACATGCTTTGTTTGCCTCTGAGGGCTTCTCATTCCTCCATTTTTTGAATGAGGACCCAAAGAACCTTCTAGTTATATTGAAAGGACAAAATGAGCCCATGACCGGGAGCTTCTCCCTAAATATTGGTTTCTGTTCCTTCTCCTGGGCAGGATTTCACATGACATTTCACTCCTGTGTTCATTTGTGTATTTTTATATTTTTACTGGGCTTTTCACATGTT